TTTTATACAAAAAAAAAACAGCGGCCAGTTTGAATGGGATGACCTAATAGTATTTAATATGCTCTTTAATATGGTGGAAAATGTCCGATGAGAATTCAATAAAGTGTAACTTATAGCGCCTCGAAAGTCAATGAAGAAAAGTGACTTTTTTGCCCCCCCCCCTGTATACTGACACAAATGGCCGTTATATTTGCAAGTGAGCAAAGAGGGGGTGATTTTTGAGCTTGTAACTTCTGATTATTGCAGATGAAAGGGTGACGAGCGAAAGACGGGTAAATGATGACGATGATGATGATTTGCGCGTCGGTCAGCGACGTCAGATACGTCCGGAACATCGACGTGATCGGAACGAGCGTGCCGATGTTCGTGTTGTTCGCAATGTTCGTGGCAGTCGTGGCGGCATAGGAGCACATCGCATGGACAGGCATCAGCCCACGAGGTTTCATATTTTTCATTGATTTGTTTATAGCAACGCGCTGAAGTAGCATAGGCGAGCGTAATCAAAAACCAGAATAGCTATCATAAGGTTGCCAAGTTATAAGTAAAAATCAGAGCCCAGGTGAGACTTGAACGCGTATCCCTCGCTGACCGGGCGAGTCGCTGTCTGTTATGTCATCCGAGCCGCTTTTACCCATTCAGCTCAATGGTTTTGTGCCATTACCAGCACGCAATCAGAATGGTTATTTGCATCGTTTCCACGTCTCGCGTACCGAAGAATCGCGGTATAAGATTCCTTTTCGGAATAATTAAGAATTCTGTGGGAGTATGGGGTTACATTTCTTTAAGAGAAGTATCTGAGATTCTGAGCTTAGATGGAAATACTTTGAAGTCGGTTATTTGCAATTACATATTGGACTTAATCGTTGTCTCACGTGGACATGAGCTGTTCCTAACATATACAGGCTGAGGGGAAGAAATCACTTAGAAAGTATAGTTTACTTAAAGACACATGGTACGCTCAACACATTGAGGGTGTATGAGACTATCAGCCCCCAGCTGTCGATGTGTCGTGGTCCCCCGCCCAAACATGCCCAGGAATGGAGATACAGGACCGTGAAACACGCTAATTCCTCCATGCTCCGCCTTACACCTTTTTGCGGCGCAGATTCCCGTCCTTCATAACATCCGTCGTAAGCGCGCGTGTCGCGTGCGGCTCCTTGGCACTTTGCCAAGTCCTTTAATTGCGCTCTCAAATACGCGCAATTTCCTGATGCGGATAACATTGGAGGTGCTACAAAATAAGAACAGAAGA